TCATTCTATATATTTTTTCAAAGATGATGATACTAAAAATTACTCATGATTGCTCTTAGTCATTGGGAATTTTTAATATAAAAATCTAAACAAATTATTATTTCATGTTTATGTACACTAGATTCATTTTTTGGCCATCTTAAACTTGATGTCATTTATTTTGACATTGATTTTTGAAAACTTTAGTCAAGTATTGTTTGATCTTATAAGACGTCATTTTTAGATTAATAGTCTCACAATACTCAATCAAGATGATTGAAAGAGCTAGTATTTTTTTAATATACTTAATAAAATTGATAAATTTTTATTTCAATAAATTTTTGCAGTAATGGTATATTACACTAATCCTCTCATTTCATCTTTGAATTCTTATTCATTGACTAGCTTACAAAGTAACATTCATATATATATATATATATATGTCTAATCTCATAAATACAAGATTGTCCTATGTGATTTTTTTTAACTTAAAACATTTAATAAAAATGTATTGTGACAAAATCTATCCAATATAAATAGAACTATTGCAAGCGTTTCATGTATTACACATTTATATTTCAAAAGTTTTTTTAGTAAATTATTAGTAATCTTATTAGAATTATTTATAAATTTTATATACATGAAACCACTTAAAGTTTGATAATTTCAAATATTCATCAGATTCTAATTATTGTGTTATATAATAAAAGCTCAATTTTTAGATAAAAATATTTTTAAATAATTAAAATTCATACTTTAACAGTACTGAGTAATTGATTAAATTGAATCAAAATATCTTTATTAAAAATATTTTGATACTTATAAAATTAATCCGATTATATATAATAAGTGAAATAAATTTAATTTATTATTCATGTATTTAAATATTATTTAATTAATAATAAATAAATTCATAAAATAAAAATATCATGAAAATTCAAACATAGATACTTTAACTTAAAATTATAATTTATATGAATTTACTCTACAAATTTTAATTTGTTTTCATATTTCAAAAAAGTATCCATATAACATTATTTCTTAAAGTATCATATATTATATTACAATACACTCACTCATGACATAATAAATTTAAATTCCGAAATATGTTTCCACCGAAACCACACCAGATTATATCTTAAGTTTCTGATTTGATTCAACTTCCTGTCCAAGGGCAGAGTCCCACAGGACTCCGAACCTTCCAATTCAATCACCCACTTCATCTGCAACTTCGAATCCCCGCCCGATCGAGACGGTGATCATCGGTAGATGGGGTTGTATTATGTATGTAGAATTCTGTCTCCCTGCACCACCACCCAGGCTCAGATCGACGACCAGACGAGCCTTGCACTCAAGCACATGCAAAGAATGAGTTTCTTCCCACTGCGAAGCTTTCCATACACATGGCTATTGACTTCACGACAGCTCGTATTCACTACTCACTCCGCTCTTAACTGGAATCTCGTACAGATACGAGATTGGACGAAAAAGTCGTCTTCCCTACTATGAACTTAGTCAGAAATTCACTGGACTTGAACCTGGATATAGCAGGAATCTTCTCACACTCCGCCGGTTGATGTTCTACCTAGGCTGGCTATGGGAAGGAAGCACTCTGTATACCAGGTTTCACGCATGAACAGACAATAGGTCACGAACGACTTGATATTCTGATTTGATCTCCTAATGTTAGTTCGCATGGGGGTTGACGTAGCTTAAAGATTCAAAATAGTGAGATTTCACGATGCATGGTACATTAGAACGCAACGAAGGGTTATTGTTGCAAGTGCGTCTTCTGGCACATTGTTCGGAACCAGAAACTATTATGGAATTGTAAATAGGCCTCGGAAAGATAACCGGGTAAGTCATGGGCTTTCGCGTTAACTTTTATGTTACTCGCGCCACTACTGTCTAGCTTTACCCTTTACATATAGTTATTTATTCGGTTACCTGGTGCGGATTCTGAAATATTTAAAAGTTACCATTACCTCATGGTATATTGGTAAATCTATCTTTTAGTATAAATGGTAGAGGTAATAGGGTAAAATACAAGTTTAATATCTGGTAAATTTTTTAACTCACATCATGTAACTGTGTTTTGTCTGGAGAACATGTATAAAAACTTCCTCAACATAATGGCTAGTAGTGGTGAACGGAATATTCGTGAAGTGTGTCTCCCTTGCTCTCAATGTCGTAATTTGACCCCCAATTAAAAAAACTAACGATCTCAATGTTTTTGGTTAAAAGTAACATTTAGTGTCGTACTGAGTGCCAAGAAACCAGCTCAGTACATTGTGACTTTGACATTTTATTTAGAAACAACATAAGATATTAGTGGTCCATTTTCAGAGAAGGAGGCACCTTTTTGAGCATTTCGTCCAACCTCTCAAGTAGATGAACATTTCTGCTGACTGGACTTGAGTTTGGAACTAAAGTAAGATAACATTATGAAATTTTTCTTCTTCTTGATGTGTGAACGTTTTCTTCTTATAATGATGGTACATCAAATGAAAGACATAGTAGAACAACAAAAGGTAGGGAAAGAATGAAAATGCTGACAGGTACTGATTGATGTAAAGGAAGTATTACAAATTATTGATTTACATGAGGAGTTCATGGAAGTAATGAATTCATAAGATAATACAAACTCTTAAAGTAGTAATTTGTTACTAAATCAGTTCAATTCTGACCTGCTAACCCTTTCAGAAATAAACCGTGTATGGAGAGCCCACAACATTACTGCAATTAATCTGAAAAAAAAGAAAAAAATTAGCAAGTGACAACAACGCAAAACTCAATTGCCATTAAAAAGTTCATACACTTCATCCTCTTCTTGTGCTCCATCCTGTTCCGTGATGGAATGGAAACTCTCCAGATCATCTGTGTTGGACGCCGTCATGTGCAAGAGCTTAACATTTAACTCCTTATTTACACTTTGTGTTTTCACAAGATTATGCACAACAGCTATTGCAGTTGGAATTACCAATTCGGCTTAAACCTGCTTTGCTGTTTTCTTTATAAGTATGTGCAGAATTATATTCTGAGTAATTTTGAAAGGTTCCACGTTTTTGTTTTTCACGGTTACGAAAATTTTTGGTAATTACCGGATAACCTATTTTGCTCTATCTTTACCTTACCTTTACATTACCCTATAGACAAACCTTTAACTTTTACCGGGTAACCCTAAAAGTTTACGTTACCTTGCGGAGACGTAATTGTAAACTTGCAGAGAAATTAGACCGTCACTACAAATAGAAGTAATGAATATTCTCAACGCATAGAAATCTCAAATTGAATGTTGGCATCCATGTAAGATGCACCGATCACATTACAATACATCTATGCATCTGTGATGGGTTGTGTTGGCTTGTAATGAATCGCGTATCTATTGACTTCAGGAACCAAGGAGCAGGACACAAGAATATTGTCATTAAGGAAGAAGAAACCCGACCTACACCATTGCGTTCCATAAATCAGGGCATTCACACAGATAGCTACCATCGGTGTCGACGCATGTAGCGATATTGGAGCAATTGTTTGAGCTCTCACACTCGTTAATATCATTAGCACAACTTATGTTAGCCAAGGGATTCCCAAGCTTATAGTTGAGTCTCCTACCTAATCAAGTGAAAAGGATCCGATATATTTGAAAGTTTTAAGTTTCATGAGTACAGTGCATCTTCGCTGTGCAGTACCCAGATTTCCGAAACGGACCGAGAATTGATTGTGCAGAGGAAGAGACTGAGGCATCCCATGCTTTTAGTGAAACGATAAAAGCGGCAGTTCCGGTCTCGGGTATCGAACTATTAGCTCTCATCGGCTTAGATTTACAAGGTAGTGAAGGATCTGCAAAAAGACGGCCACAAATAGCAATTTTAGATGCACGAGAATAGGAAACAGTATTTATGCTCGATGCGGGAACGTCCTCACTACAGAGAAAAGTGCTCAGTCAGGCCGCAGGCCTTTTCAATTAAAACCAAAAGCAAAAACCTTTTCTACAAGGGGACAATCCGCCTGGGGGGCCCATCAGAGACTCAACGCCCTTGGATTGACCATCCAGAGGACTATCGTGATCCGGTCTACTTGGGGTTTGGTGGTGGAAAGCTATCTTGAAAACATGATAGCTGTGCCAAAAAGTATAAAAGAAAATTATCAGCCTCAACTTGCACTCACTTCATCTCATCCAGCCATCACACTGTTTTTGTCGTTTAAATCACTTAAAGTTCACATATATTCAATTTGCTACAAATTTTCTCAGATGTGTGATGTGAAGACGATCATGAGGCTGTCCATCAACCGGACTCGCCGAGATATACCCTATGTTTTTGTTTGCGATCTCCTAGTCATTCTCTGGGAGTGAATCATGGCTATAGTTGATGTCCATTTCTCGATCAAAGGGTTAGAGTGTTTCCATTGTTCAATCTTTACTCTTAAAGCCTTCTCGTTAAGCGACAGAACTAATTGCTACTTCTGTGAACTCCCCCGTGAAGGCACCTTAGAATCCGCAAAGTTGCTCTGAATAGGTCCCTTGATTGTTCTCCATCGAAGTTCACTATGAGCTTTCATAGACTGCTTTCTCTGCAAACTCTGTGGCTTTAGAAAGTTCTTAATTTACCGACCTTAAATTTGGCTTTGTGGATGATGATGCAAGCAATTCTTATCTGCAATGCAGCAAAGGATGATTCTTCAACACCCTTCCTCTATAAAGATGACATGAGTCATCTTTGCTTATCATACTAGCCATGTCACAACAGCACACAGAGTATTTACAAAAATTAGTATTTTGATATTTTTCAACGTGAGATGTAAATTTCATGAAGTTGTTGTCTGCAGGTGAGTGGACTTCGTCAACGAGGGGAAAATCCTAACACCATACTCGGCTTGACCCACTAGAATAATATAGTCATAATATCAAGTATTTCTATAGATATTAAATTGTGTCTAAATAGTGAAAATGTGATGTTGTAACATTGCTCATGTTTTCAAACAAAAAATCTAGATAGACAAGTTGTGAGTCCCGATATAGTAAAATAGTAATTTTGGAGTTTACATAAATATTTTATTGCCATCCAGAGTGAAGTCTTTGCATGGTCAAGAAGGACTACAATAATGACTGATATACAGTCATATTTGAAGACCTTAAAAAAGCTAATCAGTTCACATTAAGATTTCTAAACTATCATCTTAAGATTTATACTTTTTCTCTCCTACATAATTCTGGTTTCTAAATTAGGCAGTATTCAATCCAGAATCTATATTGACATGTAGTAGCTAGCTAGCAACTAGCAACTAACTAACTAATCTAACTAGCAAGTTCAACGAATAAGTAATGCAGATGCTTGGAACTACAGAGAGTATTGAGTTATGTGACCCTTGTATAACTCACGATCGGAATGCAGTTGGTTGAAATTGGACGGAGCATAAAGTAAATGGACTCTTGTTCAAGGTAAGCACTGATCTCCCTACGTCAGTGGCTCAAGGGTACACGCAAAGGTAATGTCAACTGAGATATCTGGGAGAGAACATAGGGTACGGACGACCTAATCTAGGAACTTGAGATACTGCATGAGCTTATGTACGCACTATCGAGGCACCCTAGCCGAGACTTGTGATTCGGTGGCAAATGATGACATTAAAGCAAGTTCGTCTGATTCTCCTTGAACGCCTTGGCTACTAGCATAGGTATCCACGTTGGGTTCGTCCTCTGATATGCTCCACATGTATGGTGTCTGGGATTTTAGCTCGTTGACGACGTCCACAGCTACACTTCCATTTGAGTTCTTCATGAGGAAGTTCACCAGTTGAGACATCGTTGCGCGTTTCTTGGGATCTGTTTGCAGACAAGATAGAGCCATGTCCACCACGAGCAGGACTTCTTCTTCGTCGTAATCGCCCTCTAATCTTTTATCGACCAAGTCCAAAACCTTGCCTTCCGTGTACAACGTTATAGCCTGCGCAATTCATGAGGGTGTGAGAGGCCGAAGAGGAATACAGCAGTGATCAGATCGCGCCTGTATTCTGATGAGTGAAATTGGCATGAGTAGCAGAGAAAGGAGGCAGATGAGTATCTCCTAAAAGCCTGAAGCTCTATGAGCTGGATTTGGAATGTTCGTGCTATAATGTTGCAGTGTGATTTAAGAATCACCCACCCAGGAGCGTAGAATACTTTGTTCCTGTGGCAACTTCAGATCGATGCACTGTCTTCCAGCAACGATTTCCAGCAAGACAACACCAAAGCTATACACATCCAGTTTCTCGGAAACGACGCCTTCTAGTGCATACTCTGGTGAAAAGTAGCCCCTGTAGTTGCATGGAAAGTCATTCAAATTGTTAGTGCCTTGCTCTAAGGGCATACCACATTCTAGTGTCAACTGCGAGTCTCACCAATTGAGTGCAACTGTCGTGCATTTGATACACATGAACCACTTCGCCCTGTTAAAGTACCTCGTTCCTCCAATGTTCATGGTGAATAGAGTGTGATTTGAATCATTAGCGGGCCGGACGAGTCCAAAGTCGGCAATCTTTGCGTTGTAATTCTTGTCCAGAAGAATATTCTCCGGCTTTATGTCTCTGAGATTTCAGAGGCGGGTGTCAGTGTATAAAGCAGAGAAATCACACACCTCAAAACAAGCCCTAAACGCAGCACAAGAATGCAGAAAACTCCATGATATGTGCCTTCACATGTCGTCACGGTGTTAGGCACAAGTACAAGCTGCTTGAGATATCGTACATCATGGGCTTTCGGTGTTAAAACACGTGCTCGTCCCATGTTTTTAGATGTGTCTTACACAGAACAGAATAAAAATGTGGAAGGTTTGCAGATGAAGTTTGAGTCTAAGCATTCTCACCTGTGAATCATACCTGGCTGCAATTCTTCATGTAGGTACGCAAGTCCACGGGCTATTCCCAAGCATATGTTGTAACGTTCTTTCCAGTTCAAGACGGTCCCACATTGAGGACCTGATCCTGTTGGTCAGCGGCATACATAAAACTCTGAGATAATCAGTAAGTTCTTCGTAGTGTTTAACCGCAGGCTCTTTATTATTCAAGTGAGTACGAAGACAAAAACTCTCCCCTTCTTAGTCCCACATACGTGTAGGTTGCTTAATATCCGATACATCCACTTGAACCCTTCGCAATAAAAGCTCAGAATCCTTCCAAACAAACAATGGAGTAATCCGGCCCATTATTTTTGCTCGCTAGCTTAATATACATGAAAAAACTTCTATCTGTTGTGATTCTAGTAGATACATCATCATTGAAGAACTCAATATTTTCTCACCAAACAGGGCTTCTGTGCTTCTGACTCACCAAACAGTGCTTCTGCGAGGCTCTTGTTCTCCGCGTATTCGTAAATCAGCATTCGTTGGTGATCCCTTACACAACATCCCTTGAGTTGAATCAGATGTCTATGTTTGATACCCGAGATGTTTACCATTTCTTTCAAGAAGTCCGACGTATTCTGCTTTGTCGGAGTGAGTCTCTTCACAGCAACAACACTGCCATCTGCTAGTTCAGCCTGTCGTAGACAGTTACTTGTTACTCTTCGATGGTCTCCCTCCACTTTCTAGACCTTCTTAATCAAACAGATAACTGTAAATTCAGGATACAGACTTACTCTGACAGAAAAAATGAATGAAATATCATTACCATTGTTTATAGAGGCTTTAGAGATGTGCACATGACAATGTCAGGAGCATTACCTTGAAAACAGTGCCAAATCCACCTTTTCCTAACTCGTTGGAACTAGAGAAACTATGTGTAGCCGCTTTGAGTTCTTCGTAGCTGAAAAACGGTGGCTTCACGTGGTCTTTTGCTAATTCTGAGAAAAGTCAAGGTTACTCCCGTTAATACGAATACGAAGGAGCAGATTTTTTCCACTCGCAAAGTTGAAACCAGGAGATCATTCTCAAGACGATGAGCCAAATGATTCTTGAACATCGTATGCTGACATCTGACCTTCCTGTATGTTTTGAAGTTCACGACTGCGTCTTTGCATTTTCCACGTGAAGAATATGACTAAACAACTCAAAAGTAACACGAATATTCCAGATACGACGGCCACGGCTATTAGTACTCCTGTTTGGACACCTTCACATACAACATCAGATTTATGATGAGAATTGATATTTTTGAAGCTAGACTTTCACATAACCATATGATTTCAGCCGGCATTCTTGCATGAAACAAGACTTTGAAAATGTGCCAATACATGAAAATTACGCACCATTTTGAGCAAGGGAAACGCAACCAGTTCCATCCAGGGAATCTCGACCATCGCCTTCCATTAAGTCAGGGCATTTACACTCATAGCTACCATCGGTGTTGACGCATGTAGCAATACTTACGCATTCGTTCGACTCTAAACACTCGTTGATATCTGGCATGAGCACAAGTCATGTTAGCCAAGGGATTCCCAACCTTACAGTCGAGTCTACGAGCTAATCAAGTGAAAAGGATCCGATACAATTGAAAGCTTGAAGTTTCAAGCAGACAGTGCGGTATCTTCGCTGTGCAGTACCAAGATTTTCGCAACGGACCGAGAATTGAGTGTGCAAAGGAATAGGTTGACGCATGCCATGCACTTAGTGAAACGATAAAAGCGGCAGTTACGGTCTCGGGAATCGAACTGGTAGCTCTCATCTGAGACATAGATTTTCAAGGTAGCTAAGTATCTGAAACAAGACCGGCACAAATCCTCCATGCAGGAAAAAATTATCAGCCTCAACTTGCCTTCACAGCCAGTGCCATTTTTATAACCATCTCCAACGTAACCCTCCTTAACGCAACTACAATAGTAGCCGACGTTATTAAAGTTGGTGCAATTTGCAACCATGGAGCATTCAGAGCAGTCGAGAATATCCGGCCCCCTCTGGATGTTATACCACAAAGCGACTCCGTAGTATCCATCACCAAATCCTGCCCCGCCTCCATGATATGAACTTGGATACACAACGGTGGAGTAGCCACAATTTGCGAACTCTAATCCTTGCCCTGTCATCTCTGATCCTTGCCCTGTCATCGTTAGTGCCTTGGTCACTCCAATGGTCTGAACGCAGCAGTCATACTTGTCACAGTACACAAACACGTTCTGGTTGATACACGACACTGGACCGCACGTCGTGCTGAAACCGTTACTCAGAGAACTATTAGAACCCGTAGCCGATCCTTGAGCCTGGCAAGATACGACGATGAAGACGTTCTCCTCAGAAATCCAGTAAGGGCTTTGCGCGTCCAGAACAAGGCTGGCATTGACCGTTTTACTGCAGCCCATAGCTTTAATATTCGTCGTATCTATGAGGATGAAGCCAGATTGAATATACAATACTGGCAGAAAATTCACCTCGAAAAGTTCAGTTGTTATGGTGCCATTGCTGAAACGTTGTCCGAGAGTGGATGTGGCCGCTATGTGAGTCAGAACCGGCCACGGACCTCTCAAACCCGACGTGAGATTTGGTCCCAGGTCGGTCCTGCAGTCCAGCACAAAGTACGAGCTGAAAGCGCATTGTGGTGAAAGTCCAAAAGGGTAGAAGATCCCGACGTTGCCACAAACTCTCTGACAGTCCGACCCATTGGATTGCAATTGCAGCCGGGCACTCGAGCCTGTCGCAGGTCTCTTCTCCGCACAGCGTCGGTTGTCGTACTTTTGCAATGCCAGAAACGCGAGTACCGAGAGCGCAAGCAGAGCCACTAAATATCTTCTGCGGTTCGTCTTCATTGTGCGTCCACCACATTGTTTCCACAAGTCTGAATTCTGATCCCCTCTCATGTTTGACCGGCAAGGACCACACATGCCCTGGCGGAAACTCGATTTCGTATCGAAAACGGTGGCCGATGGATGTTCTCTCCGTTTGCAGAAAGCTCGACGTCCTGAGATTTCGAACACAGATCGATCATACTCCGAGAACTGGGTCGAATCAACGACGTTATCTACGTATCTTTTTTTGTTGGGTTTGGACAGAGATCGACCGGAGAGCAAGCATCCGGGCTACTACTAGCTCTCTCCGTTTACTTGAGCCCTGAGGCACACTTCCCTCTTTTTCTTCTGACTCTACCGAGACAGTCAATGCATATATGCACATTTCCGAAGCGCAGTGAAGCGAGCGTAATTAATTGACGCCTATGCCCAGTCCGTGCGTGCTGGATGGTACCGGGAATCGCTTAGGACTCGGCTCAAATTTATTTTCACATAACCGAAGACGATGTCTTCGTTCATGCTCTGCGGGAGGGGGACTACTTCGTCGAGGAAATTCCCCCTCCTGGCAACGTCACGCACGAGAATATACTCCTCCAGCTGCAAAGTGGTAATTTGTTGAGTGCTCTCACGTCCAGACATATAACATTGTTTTCCTCCAGATATATAATATTGTTTTCCTCGTAGACTTATGTTGGTCAAATTTCAGTTGGTGTGTGTTCTACGCGTCTTACATTCATGATCATCCTCTGTTCGGAACCTACTGGTGAGCATAACTTAAAAGTTTAAGCTGACTGCTGACTTTTCACATCCTGTCGATACCCCTCTTTTCATACACGAACCATTGATACAAGAGACACCTTGTGCCTTGCCTTGACAATTCATATCTTTGATATCCATCCGAACTGCCCCATGATAGTATTATGCTGTTACAGATCGAAATGCATAGTTCTGCTCGTTTCTTCTGTTGCAGTTGTCAAATGTGATTCCCTGTACAAATGTGATTTGCGAGCTCATATGCTGTCAGGGTATCACGCAACCTTCGTTGACGTCATTCGTTCAGAGGAGAACGACGAGGTTATTGTTGGAAGTGCGTCTTTTGGCACATTGTTCGGAGCCAGAAACTATGATAGAAATGCAAACTTGCGGAGAAATTAAACCGTCAAATATAAGTAAAGAATAGTCTCGAAGCAGAGAAATCTCAAATTGATCCCTGACATCCATGTAAGATACACGGATGACATTACATTCCATCCATGGCATTGATGGACTGTCAACGCCAACAAAGTCCACTATGTGTGCTGGATGCATGGATTCCAAGACTGTTGACTTTATGAACCAAGGAGCAGGACACAAGAATATTGTCATCAAGAGAGAGGAAACCCAATTTACTCTTCCTTCTCTCTCTTTCTTTCTTTAGGTTTCTGGGCCTACGCCTCAAGTGACTGAAGGCGGTCTTGTCTTGTGGAGGGGAGCTGCAGTAAATTAATTTGGTACAATCGAATAAGCCAACGATAGGAACTTTCAAACGGCGATCTCGTTGTAACTTTCTTCTTCGCGTATCTTACCACTTCGACCATGTCTTCCTGATTTCTGTAATCTCGAGGGCGATGACGGGAGGGAGGAGAGTACTTCGGAAGAGGGTTGTTTCTTCGCAATTTTATTTTTTTTATCGATTCTCTTTGTTAAGAAATGTGAACTAATTTGAAAATCATGAGTAACTGTATATAAATACATTTTCCAAGTTGAACCTTCTGAAATCAGATAAATGGTTCAAGTGTTTGTTTTCAATAATCTTTTGTTTCATGCCTTTGTTCTATTCCAAACTTGAAGATTGAATGAGATACATGTTGGAGTGACATGACACGTAATTATTCTCTTCGTGCTAAAAAATCCTCAAGTTTTTTCGTCAGGCTTATCAAACCAATTTGAGACCACAAGATGCAGTTTGTAATGTTTTGTCTACTTTCCAGTCTTAGCAAATCAATCTTAAACACAAAAGTAATTCTAAAATCTTTAGTATTTTAAGAATTATGCTATAAAACTTTAAAACTCAATGGATAGTTTTCAGATCAAATAGTGAAAGCAACAAAAGATCTTACAAAGAATGCAATGATGTTTGTAAGTAATTTTACAACATAAATTTCCAAAAAAAAAGGAAAAAATCTCAGATATTTAATCGTGCCATGAATCTTTTGGGAGTTTACAAGGATTTGTAAGAACTGATCTAGTTAAGTTTTCATTTATTTATTGAAAATACATTTAATATTGACTTGATTCTCACGTCAGGTTGATAGTTTAAAGTTTTTGCAATTCATGACTTTTGCATTGTGACATTTAAAGCCATTAAATCATAAAGAAAATGATAAATTTTGCACAAAAAATCGAAATAAGAATTTTCAATTTGAAATCTGGGTGTAAATTATTTACTTTGAAAATACGTAAATTTTTATATATTTATATGTTCAATGACGTTAATTCTGTAATATTAAGTACATGATGAAATATATGTGATAATAAATGAAAAAATTATGAGCATAAGATTGAAAATCAATGGTATAAAAATTTAATTAAATTTTTGGAATTTTATTTACGCTTCAAATATGGAATTTTTTATGCTTGAAATAAATCAATGGCAAAATTAATGAAAATTTGATTTCTAAAAAAAAATTCATACACTTAATTACTTATTTCTTTTTTGTACTTTCATGATTAATAAGAATTCCAGAAAATTTCAACTTACAAATAAAAACCAGTTTCTTTAACATTGTCGTATTATATTAAGATTATATCTATTTCATCAAAGATATATATTAGTCTACAATTATTTATTTTAAATTTTAGTTTTTGAAAAATATATTTTATTATTATTTTATTTATTGCAAAAGTTTTTTCTAATCAGTCTCATAAATTTTCAATATTTTTTGTTAAGAAATTGTATAACGTGAGACAAAAGATTAATATATTTGCAAAAAAGATTAGAAAGTTTTGATTTACTTTCATAATATATTGAAATTAAAATTTAATAATGGTAATATATTGAAAAATATTCCTTCATATGGTCGAGATGATTTGTCATGCTTATTGAAGAATGAACATTCTGTAAGGTTGATCCGCGTTTTGTTAGTCGTAGTTAGCCTTGAACTCTAGTTAGGATTTGAGATACTTAACCCTATGATGATCACGTTTCAGTTTAGTCTCACATGTATACTTGTAGAGAAAGATCATGTAGAGCTGAGCTATGGAGGTCTAATGTAGCATTCTTGCTTTAGTGAAGCTTTAACCTTGGACGTGGAGATAACCTTATGTATAGGTGAATCATGTACATTAGTGTGTGTTTCTTGTTTGTGATTCTTGATGTATGATTTTTATGATAATTGAAGCTAGTTCAATGCACGTAATTTTTATTTACATAGAATCTTAAAGACTAATAAGCACGGAAGCCTTATCAAAAATTTTAATTTTTTAATTCGGAATATAATGTTGGTTGATTTTATATGCAAGTGAAGCTAGAGCCACTAATTACGTTTTGATGAAAAAATATGATTGCATCATTGAGTTATTGCAAAGATTTTTTGAATCTGCAACAACAAAGGTGTACTTCACTCTGCCAAAAAAATTGTTTTGATTTTTTAAATCTAAATTTTTTCTTCAATCAATTTCTGCTTCTCAATACATAATCTTGAATGTCGCTTTGAGAATATCACTTTGACCTAAATTTTGTTGAGCGGTTGTGAAGTTAAGTGCGTTTGAAATTTGGGATCAAGCTGTTGAGGTTAACTCCAGTTAAGGAGTAATCTTGAGTTCTAGCTATTTATAGCTTGAACGGTCCCTTGGACTGGAGATACATACATCGGCTTATGTCTTGTACATGAATCTTTCTGGACATAACCTAAAGTAAAGGTGCTCAAATTCTGGGTGCACGTAGCCCTACTCTCCGAGGATGAACCATGTTACATTTTGTGTATCTTGTGATAATTGTCACTTGCGTGTGTTTTGGCGCTACACAAGCTTAATCGGCTGGTGAATGGCGATGTGAACTTGGAGTGATGAGTAATAAAAACCCTAAATTTTGAAGCAACAGTAAAGTGACCCAAGCGGAAGGGCAAGTTATCTGTATCGGTCAAGGCCAAAAGAAAGGAATCACTGACGCCTCTATAGATCAAAACACTTATTGTGAATAATCTTTGCCAAAAAGTAATAGTAAGCTTGATTTTTGGCATTTTTGAAAGATTTGACCAGGTAAATAAACTATGTTTGAGCTGAAAATTTGCAGAGTGATTTTTTGTCAAGTTGAGCATGCAGTAGAAAAGATGGTGTTGAAAATGTACAACGTAAGAATTTGTAATCCTAAAGAAGTACTCGGGGAATCTACAGTCAAATTTATATTTTTTCTAGTCTAGGATTAATTACTTTTTATTTAAGTATGATTTTGACAAAACGTTTTTACATTCAAGTGGGTTAGCTTATGAGCTACGCAAGGATAGACTAGGTTTTAATTACAAGAATATTCATTTTTTGATGATTTTTGTGATTAAATGTTGGGAATACATACAGTATTTTTGTCAATTTCTTGAGAAATGAGCAATTTGAGCAATCTAAAAAGCAACCCAATTGCATCACAATGAGATGTAAAAACTACTAGCAGACCTCAGCTTACGTTTTTGGATAAAGAGCAATCAATAGTGGTGAGTAACCTTGGAGTTCCATGGTTTGAGATGGAAAAATTTGATGAACGGATTAATTATGTCTTATGGGAACAACCAATAACTATTGTATTTGTTGCCATGGGTTTGAGTAAGGTGCTTAAGCCACAACCAGACGACATAGATTATAATAATTGAAATGACATTTAATACCAATCGCCGAGTATTGTGGTATTGTATCTCAAGCCAAATGTCTTCAAGCGAATGGAGTCGATGCCAACGGTAGCAAATTTGTTTGCGGTATTGCGTGAAAAGTATCATGAGCAATAGCTTTCAAATCAATTGTACATGACTTTGAAGCTCATCAGTTTAAGCATGGCGAAAGATGCTCAGATCCAAAACTATGTAGATGTCTTCAATGATTAGATTGTGGATCTTGATATATTAATTTCAGTAATGAGCCAAAAGCAATTCAATTACTGAGTTTTTTCTCGCCTCATACTAGTAACTCTCACAAATATTGCTTCACTTGACAAGTAAAACGTTACATATAATGAAATTATTACTGATTTATTGACTGACAACATGCAACAGAATTAATTGTTGTATATGCATTCCTTTTTTGTTCAATCCACTTCATCGTTTACTACATTGACAGTCTCTCGTAATATGATACCTACTAGGAAGAAAAACAATGAAAATATCAAGATGAAA